CCAGACGTGCGGAAACTTTATGTGCCATCGCAAAATGTTGGTCCATATCAAAATGCATCGAATATTGAAAAATTGCCAACCGGCCTTCCTCGTTTTGCAAGCCGAATGCAGTAGTGCCCTTGGAAAAAGTCTGATTTGAATGTTCCAATTTCTCGAAAAGAATAGCGGAGGCGATAAACGTGGATATGCTCGGGGATGTGTATGCATCGTTCCTTCAGGGCTCTACGGCTCACTTCTCTCAATGCATTCACGAACGGAATACAGTCAACTTCAATCAGATGGTATAGCTCTAGGTCAGAGGTCCTTTCTTCGTATTCGGCGTGTTCCTGAGAGCCCTCTCACTTTCAGCTTCAGGGCGCAAATTCCCTTTGCTGGAATACCATAGCAGACAGATGACTGACTACTCCGGAAGCCGAGTTCGAGAAATGGGAAACTGCGTTCTCGATAACGTTCTTTCTGGTTCGATTGTTTCGTGCGAAACGTACCGTACGATGGACTCCTTGAAGTACTGATGACTCAATTCAGCGGCGCGTCTAGGATTTTTGATTGGGGAGGGAAAAGGGGGCAGAAACGCTGCAGAGGAGGTGGAAACCCTCATCCCAACGTAGTACTCCAAATCTTGGAAGTAGGAGTACCATAAAACCAGAATTAAAGTTACGGAGGTTCTCCTGAGACGAGAACATGGTCGACCGCCGAGTCATAGTCTCTAACCGGTTGAAAATCCCGATTGCAGTCGTAGTTAAGAAGAAACTGCAGACCCCTTGTTTGTTTCTGCATTAAGATTCGTTGCGGCTAGGTCACGACGAATCCTTCCCCGTCCAGTTCCTTCCGTCTTGTGCTGTAGTGGACGCACCAAGCCCAGCATTATATGTCACGCAGGCACGAAGAGCATGCGCGGTTTCGTGACGAACCTCCATTTGGAATCACTGCTAACTTACTTCTAGTGGATGGGAAGGTGAAGCACATCAAGGAAGTTGAAGTCTTGAGTCCATCCCGCTTTCCATTTAGGCCCTTCCGTCTCGGACAAAGTGAAATTCTTGTGCTGCTTTCGAGTGTAGCAAGGAACGTCATGGAATCTTCGGGGAATGGTCGGTCCAGTCATGGGAAAGAAAAATATGGGTAAGTGAATATTTAAAAACCGGCCTGTGACAATTTCGGTGTGCGCTTTTTTCAAGAGGCCGGATGCAGCTTTGGCGCCAAACTCAAGGTTGAGATAACTCGAGTACCACACAACCCCCCCCCCCCCCCTCGGCCTGTAAATAGTGCCATTTGACGTAGAATAATAAAGTAGGATGTTATTATTACGAGGGGCGTACCGAAAGTAATGCCTGTAGGGCTGTAATACGCATAACAATAGCAGTGTGCTTACGTGCTTGGTAAGATATGTATATTGCACCTTCTTATATATTTTGTACCATCTTTTCCACTGATCTGTGCTTGTGATCCATGGTTATGATGCTAAAGCAAAGAGCTGTCATCGAGTCCCTGACGAAGGAGGGTTGCAGCGCTTCCGACATTCATGCGAGGCTAGCCAAGGTGTACGGTGAGCAGAAAATTGACGTAGGAATGTGCGAAGGTAGGTGAATAAGTTTACCGCAGGAGAAACAACCATCGAGGACAAACCACGAACTGAGAGGCCATCAACTGCGGCCAGTGATGACAACCGACAACGGATGGATGACTTGATTCGCGCGGACAGGCGCATAACCGTCCGGGAGATCGCTGATCACTTGCATTGCTGTCAAAATGCCGTAGAAGCAACCATCAGAGATCTACGCTATCGGAAGGTGTGTGCCAAATGTGTTCCTCGTCAGCTGACATCTGATTTGAAAACCAAGAGGGTGGACGTGTGCACTGAGGTGCTGGCGATATTTGAAGACCAAGAAGGCATCTTTTTTTCGAATGCTGTGGCAGAAGTTTAGACGTGGGCATATCTGAATGATCAATAGACTAACAATCAGTCGATGCAGTGGTGCCACAGCACCTCACCCTGGTCTAAGAAGCTCAAAACTCAAATATCAGCGCAGAAGGTTATGGTCACAGTCTTCTGGGATGACAAGGGTGTCATCCTCATGGATTTCCTGCAGCCTGGTGCGACAGTGACCAGCGCCCGCCATATTGCGACACTCAAGAAGCTTCGTGAAACTATCAGAAAGAAGAGGCCGCAAAAATATCTCAAATCCATACATCTACAACATGACAACCCTCGCCCTCACACGTCTTTTGACACAAATCAGGCAATTGCGAAGATTGATGGGTCTGTGGTGCCACATCTCCCTTACAGCCCGGATTTGGCACCGTCGAACTTTTGCCTATTCAGCCCGATGAAAAACAGTGGCCAGGGACAAAGATTTGATGACGTAGAGGACATCAAAGTCGCTTTGAAAACATGAATCAGACGCTGCTCGCCACAGTTTTTCCAAAGATGATTTCAGTCTTGAGTTCAGAGGTTGTGCGAATGCATCGCGTGCGCAGATTACTTTGAAGGGTAGTTTTGTGTACAGCAACAATGGGTGCACAAACGTGTATAACTGGAACTTTCTATTCATTATAATAAAGAAGTTATTACCTAACAGGCATTACTTTCGGTACGCCCCTCGTATTATTTTTTTTTGCAGTTTTCTGACCATAGCTCGGTTTGGTTGGGTGTCATAGGCTGGTTTTTTTAAATCCACTTACCCATATTATATTAAACTACAGAGCATTATAATTGCTACCAGAAAAAATCACCACCATCTCGAGATTAACTCAATTTTTGACGCCGTCTGAATAAACGGGATGGGTTGTGCCGGAACATGTATCACTATTTGTACAAACGCGTGACAAATGGTGACGCCATACGACGGACGGATGCGGATTCCAAAGGCTGAGCATTCATGCACCTTAGACATCAACCTTGAGCTTTTACTTGGCATGCAAGACTTTCAACTCACGGTCACAGTTGACGTCAAATTGTCAAATTCCTGGCTTTCCTTAGCTTAATTGGACAATGCATGAGAACTTCTGCGTTCAGGGTCGATGCCTATGGACTCCGTTTCATTGTGGTTCGATAATGATACACTTTGGATTATTTGTCCAGATCCTGCAATATGATATAGTTTTAACTCGTACCTCAGATGAGGTCGTGAAGACAAAGCGTGAGACCTCAACAGGACCTCGCATTTTCCTCTCATTTAGAAGATTCAGGAGAAATAAAGTTACCGGAAGATCCTTTTTTTCCTTTGGCAATTTTCTTCATTCAGGTATGGTCCGTCAACGGACTGACGGAACCACAGATCGGGGAGAAAAGAGCCTCTCACTCACTTAATATGAAGAATCAATATATACAGGGCAAAACAATGACCAACGATTTTCAACCTAAATATCTCCCTTCACGATAGAGCTTTATTCGCGAAACTTTCACTTTGCATATATGAGTGTTTCCAACTGATGCATCAAATTGCACAAAAATTTGATGTGCCAAAGCAATTCTATCAGCAATTACTGAAAAGAAGTTAGACATTGAGAATGGACAAGAGCTCTTGCTGGTAGTGGAGGACACACTCGAGCGCCGTCCCTACTGCTCATCACGACAACGTCAAACTCCACTTCCATTTAAATTCATTCATAAAGCTGATTGTCTCTTGTAGATGGTTTTCATGAGCTTATTCCCAACCAATAGTAGATGAATCAATGAATATCAATCCAGAGAGTTTTCTCAACGTTCTTTTAGAATCTCCCTTGTTTTGTCTGCCTGAGTCTGCAGGGTATGACAGAAAAGATCAACAACTTTGAGTGCATCATGTTTGCCGCCGGAGTCGCTTAGGATGTAGCACGGTTTCATTTATTTGATCAACGAGACTGCAAACAAAAAATTAATTCAGGACTAAGTTAAAAACTATAATATCTATGACAAGACTGGAATTTGAAATGAACAGTTTCCTATGATAATAATAAAAACAAGCAAATGCCGAATGAACTTTGAGGATATTCATTGATTCATCTACTATAGGTTGGGAATAAGCTCATGAAAATCATCTGCAAGAGGCAACCAGCCCAATGAGTGAATTTAAATGGTGCTCGACGTGGTCTCGTGGATCAGGAGGGACGGGGTTCGAGAGTCCTCCACTCCATTACTTGCAAGAGCTCTTGTCCATTCTCAATGTCTAACTCCTTCACAATATTTGCTGATAGAATTGCCTTGGCACATCACATATTTGTGAAATATGATGTGCCAAGGGGAGAGGGGAGACATTTTGATTGAAAGTCGTTGGTTTTTTTTGCCATACCCTGTATATATTAATATTTCCAAAGATAGCACTGTCGCAGTGACGTCATTGAGGAAACCCTTTGAAGCAGGGGTCTCAAACTCATTTTGTTGTGCAGGTCGCATCGCCAAGATCGGACCTCTCTGTGGGTCGAAGTGTAAATTCGTGGAGTGAAAATCTACCACAACCTCATGTGTACATTGAGTTAAAACGTTTCTTTCTCTCGGCGTACGCATTGAGAGCGTTTGCGAGCCGCGAGTTTGAGACCCCTGTTCAAAAGGATTCACCAGTTGCTTCCACATTAAGAAAAAAATGCAAGAAATTCCCTGACCCCTCGTTTGCAAGCGCAAAGAGTTCTCTAATGATGCTTCTACTAGTCTGCATACATTTCAAGGTTAATATTTTGAAACTTTTAACACTACTATGAATACATAGTTATGCCAACGGCCTATCAGGCGGTAATGTCAGGATTTATTCTTTTTTTTTTCCTGTGACCAACATACAGGTACATTCAATATATTTTTCATAGTTTTTATCTCACAAGAGAAACATCTACAAAGGATTCAGTAAAGGTCTCGAACGGACGTAAGTCGAGTCTGTCCATAGTCTTCCTCGGTTTTCAGGCGTTTCAACAATGGCCAGTGCTCACTACACATGTTAGTTCAACTGTTTCTGTAAATGCCATGATCTGAGTAAAATACAAAATAACGAATGACGAAGAAAACATGAAAAAAAAGAAAGCCAAACAATGTAGTCTTTATTCTCTGCTTTATTCATCAGAATAACAAGTCTTCCTTCATTGTACATGTCAAATAGAGAGTTTAAAAAAGACACAATAGGCATGATAGAATATAGTAAAGATTCAGGTAAGGAAACAAAAAAAGTCAAGAGACACGACTTGTACTTCAAAGGTCAGTGTCTATCGTACACTATAGAACAAATGGAAGGAAAAGTGTTTGTCTTCATTAACAGATGACTCAGGAGGGGGTTGTGGAAGTGGGCGGCCCCTCGATCTCTCTCTGTGCCTTAGAGATCTTGACTCGATCTCGAGGTGTCCCTGCTTCACCTGTTTCCAGGGCAAACATTCGCATTTTCTCACGGAATGTCAGCTTCTCAGGGGCATTCGGTCCCTTGCTTCCTTGCTGCCGCTGCTGCTGCTCTGCCAACCGTTTCTGACGTGGGTCCCTGTTCCCAGCACCCAATATCATATGCATATAACATCATCATCCTCTTTCATTGTGTTGTGATAACTAAATGCTCAAATCAAGTACCCTAGTGTCCTTACATAAAACCTTAAAGGATGAAGGCAAGAAAGCACAAAGAAGAAAGAAGCAAGAAACTTATTCATTTCTGTTTAGGAGAAAATGCCCACTAATATGGGTTGTGTAGTGAACATTTACAAATCCACTGTACAGTATACTGCTACTCACACACAGGTAAAGTGGAATAATTTCCAATTAAAATTGAAATAAAATGCCACTAAATGGGAAATAATTTTTTTTTTCAACATATGTATAAAAGGCAGAAAGGAACAAGGATGGAATATACCAAATATGAAGAATTGGAAGAATGTAGCCAACAAAGTTATGAGAATTACATGCTATATTATATATATGAGGATGGATCAGAGAGCAAGGTATATGTAAGAGTATATGGCAGTATATAGGTAAATGAGAGTAAGGGAAATGGCTGTATTGATCTCAATTTAGAAAATTATTGCATAATATTTGGACTGCATATAGTGCTGTAGTTCATGAATGTTCTGCCAAGGGGATTGGCTTACTATTGGAGCAGTCATGTGACATGCAGCTAGTTCAATATGGCCACCATATGTGAAACATACACACATGAAATTTTAAGTGTTATTTGTTTTCTGAGGGGAAAAAAATTATGTCAAACCTTCACCCTAAAAGAGTGCATAATTGATGTGGAAACACACATCATCACAACCATGAAAAAAATTAAAGGCAGTACTGTCAGCTGACAAGGTTATGGCTCCTGTGGTTTGGGATAAAGAGGGTATTTTACTCATCAACTTTGTGGAACCAGGCAGAACAATCACTTCCAAGACATACAGTTCAACTTTACAGAAGCCAAGAGATGCAATACACTGTAAATGGCCATGACTGTTGACTAAAGGGCATTGTTCTGCTATGTGATAATGCTCCTCCCCACACTGCCTAATTGACAATCAGAACAGTTTCCAGGTACAGATGGGAGGTTCCTCCCCATCCTGCATACATTTTGGATCTTGCACCAAGCAATTACCATATTTTTGGACAAATGATACATGAACTCAATGCTTAAGAATGTGGCTGAGCTTTAAAATGCCATCACCACTTGGCTCATTAGACAGGACTATTCATTTCTATGCAGTGGGATTTAACAAGCTTCCATAACACTGGGACAAAGGTCAATGTGTTTGGTTCCTATGTGGAAAAGGGACACTACTATCTAGTTTAATCTTGTGCAATTATGCTTTAATAAATACATATATCCAAAAAAAATTCAGGTGCTTTTACCTTACTTTCTGATTCACCCTTGTGGCATGTCAGTATATTAAATGATAAGAAAAGAGTTTATGAGTTTATGAAGCACAATATTTCATAATGGTATAACATCTAGAAATGGTCTCAACTTAAAAAAGTTATTGAGAGAAGCTTAAATTTTATCACAATCAATAGCAGGCAATGAAAAAAAAAACTGGACTGACTCACCGGTAAATCTCTTGAGCCCCAATCACTCCTGGAGTAGAACCAGATGTTGATGAAGAATTTGGAGGACTCTGTGTTGAAGACAACATAGTTTCAGCCTCTGACAGAAACACCTACAAATACCAAAGAAGACCACAAACTTAACCTGATTTCACCAAAATCATGTATATGAAACATGGATACAAGTCCCACCTCAGGATGGGTGCGAGGGGGCTTCTCCTGATTAGCATTTGCATCAAAGATGATGCGTTGTGCTTCAGGTTCCTGAATCAGATTTTCCAGTCGTCGATGAGCTGTCTGAACAGGTGTGTTCAGGTTCTCTTGCCGATGGTGACTTGGCTGAACAGGGGGTGTATTCAAGTTTGGGGGTGGAGACTTTGGGAGAGGTGGAGGTTGGTCCATCTGCAGGATGGGCCCATTCCGGAGTGGGGCTGACCGAACCTGTGCTGAGCGCCTCATGTCTTCTTCCTGTCATGAAGTGAACAGTTCACTATCTTCACTCAAAAAAAAAAAAATTACAAAATGACACCAACAGACAAGAGCCTAAAACTGTAAATCTCACAGGTGATTCTATTTGAATCACAGCTCTCACTGGAAAAACCTTGCACTTCTTTCATCAAACTATAATGTAATAAGAATCAGTCATCATCAATAATCTGCCAAAGCAGGAATGGTAACTTATGCATCTTCATGCCTTTCTATCAAATTTAATTTAAATAGATTTCCATTTGTAGAGTGGGGGGGAGGAAGAGAGCTAATTAGCTGAGCCACTGAGTCAGTCACATCTTTTTTAATTATCCTTAAATGACATTTTAAAAATAAATTTACAAAGGATGCTACACTTCTCCCTGTATATTCCCATGCATCAATAAAGAATGTTGTGAACTATATCAAACAGTGAAATAGCAAACTGTGCCAATGTTGAAAATGCCCTCCTCCCATTTGCGAATCACATTGTTGAGCACATGTCTGCAAAGATTCCAAAGATGATGCATTCTATGCGAGCCAGTAGTTTGTCTAACATATTTATAATGTTTTTATGAGCACTGTCCTTTGTGTAACCCTACAGAAAGATATCTGCAAGGCCTGTTCTTAAAAAATCAGATAAACATAGTCCTTCCATGAATGATTCATACTTACTGGATCTAGTGTGGACATACGAGGGGGAGTCAATAACTAAGGTTAATTTAAATTTTCACAGACTTTATGTACCCATGTATATACTCATTACCACATACCCTCATTACTGCATGTCTGAACATGTAGTACTCATAGTCCCAGCAATATAAAGTTGGCAAAACTGTCGCTGACAGTTTTTAAAATGGCTGCCCCAAATTCAGATTGCACCGCTGTTGAACAGCGAAGTGTCATTCGATTTTTACTGTCAGAAAGAGTTAAACAAAGTAAAATTTATTGCAGAATCTGTGCACAATATGGGAATGGTTGTCTTTCATTGAAAAATGTGTACAAGTGGTGTGAACTATTCAGAAATGGTTGCCAATTAAAGATGCCCTTCAGGGGTGCAGTTTCAGGGATGATACAGACGAAAATACAGTATATAATTGGCTACGTTCTTAACCAAAAGCTTTTTTCTCTGATGAAATCAGAAAGTTTGTCAATCGCTGGAATAAATGAGTTGAGGTAGGAGGTAATTACATTTTAAAATAGTGTTTGTTCATGTTTCTGGAATAAACTGTTTTGAAGCTATACTGAAATTCACTTTATTTATTGATTCCCCCTCGTAACTGCTAGAATTCTCACAGACAAGTTGATTCATGTGTCTGACAACATGACTCACAGGGTATGTTAGCATGTGGAAGTAGAAGGTAGATATTTGTGGCACTTGTAGTGAGGAGATGCAAGACATGCCAACTTAAGCCAAATTCATGTTATCATCTAAGTTTATAATATATGTAATATTTATGCAGAAGTTTCATGGTTATATGCCAACCCATTCCCATGTAGTGATTCATTTTCTGGGCAACCTATATTTGAAAAAAAAAAAAACCAGTAGTTCAACAAAGGCCTGAAAAATCCATTCCCTCAAAAATCCTTCAGGTGGAATGTTTCAAAATATCATAGTCCAAATGTCATAATCCAAATGAATGGATACTATGTACATAGGGCTAATGGGATGATGATGGAGTTAGATGTATGCCATAGAAGCCATGGTGCTGCATTGTCAGTCAATCACAATGCAATGATGAAGTGTCACTTCCCTATTGTTAATGTGTTCTATTGGAAGTTTTGCTTCAGACAGGTCCTATATCAGAGTAAGTTCCTTCAATGCATCATTTTAGTAAGATAATTTCCATAGGGATGAGTTGAGTACCATATATGCTTGGTCTTGTTGGATTTGGCTCAATTACCTGAGCTCGACAGAATTTTCAAATGTTACTAGTATTTCAGAGCACCCTGCACTTCAGGGCTTGATATCCTATGAGACAGATATCTGTAATGGGATGGATCCAATGGCTACTTTTAACAAAAAACTTCATACATCTATTTCTGATACTAAAAATCTTGAGAAACAATCAGAGGTTCTGAATGGAAGCTTTGGGCCATGAATGGGCTACTGAAAAATATCTTTAAATTTTCCTGGCTTTGCATATAAACTTTTCAAGAGTAACTGCCATGTTAACTTAGGCTCCACGTCATTTCACTGCAAGTCACTTCTATGTTAGACAAATGACAGCCGACATTTCGTTGCAAACAATTTATTCGCATGCGTCAATTAACTGTACGTCATTTCACTGTGATACCCTTTTCACTGCATTCACTTTCGCTGCAAAAATTGTCCTAGAAATTATGGATATTGAAATAAAATGGGTTAATAATTGACAATTTATTCGCATGCGTCAATTAACTGTACGTCATTTCACTGTGATACCCTTTTCACTGCATTCACTTTCGCTGCAAAAATTGTCCTAGAAATTATGGATATTGAAATAAAACGGGTTAATAATTGTCACATAAGAAGAAAACCCTCGGGAGAAAATAGGGGGATTGTCAGAATGAGTTCAAAACTGAAGATCCAGCGCGATACCGCGCAAATATGAAAGGACATCCCTTGACTGCCGCTGCTCAACCAAGGTCAGGAGGCGATCATCAGCTGCCTTGAATTTCTTTTTCCAAGGCTGAGGATGGCCAGAGAGTGCCTGCACTACTCGGACCTCCTGGCATCTCTGCTCCTTAATCAAATACTTCAGAAACTTCCAAAGCGTTGGGTGTGAACATCCCAGACCACCTTGGAATACACTGTGCCAGACTTCAATGGCATTATTTGTGCGAGGAAGACCTTGCACAATGCGGTCGTGAACGTTCCAAAAGCCGATGTCGAACATAGGTTTCGCTCGACCTCTTCTACGAGGGCGTCCAACGTAGGTGTCCTCGAAGTAATTTACTATCGGTTCAGTTACCTCTGGAAGGACTTCGGCGAGATCCTGGAAAGCATCAACCACTTCGTCAGAGGGAACAAAAGCCAGTGCTGGTAGCATTCGGAGGTGAATTGAAAGTTGTGGATCAGTCCCGTAGGCAGCCTGAAGGCCTTCGCCTTGCACTTTGCGATACAGAGATTGGCAAAGATGAAAAAGACAAGCTGATTGTGTGACTCCTGGAAAGACCTTTTTAGTGGCATTGATAGAGGCCTTTTCAAAGTAGGGAACAAAAGCCAGTGCTGGTAGCATTCGGAGGTGAATTGAAAGTTGTGGATCAGTCCCGTAGGCAGCCTGAAGGCCTTCGCCTTGCACTTTGCGATACAGAGATTGGCAAAGATGAAAAAGACAACCTGATTGTGTGACTCCTGGTAATACCTTTTTAGTGGCATTGATAGAGGCCTTTTCAAAGTCGCTCAGCACTGTTGCAGGATTAAGGTTTGGACGGAACAAAGGATACAATGAAGAAACTGCAGGGAAAAACTATACTCGAAGCTCGAAACCACTGTCGTTCATACAAGTCCTAGACTTGCCCTTGGGAATGAATGAATGAATGAAGCAGTGAGATGAGATAAGCAAAAGAAAACGGAAAAAGTCGCGCCTGCCTGAAAAAGCCCCACGGTGAAAAGGGTGCTACTGGGAAAGGGAAGACAGTGAAGATGTATATGCAGTGAAATGACGCACGGCAAAGTAACAACAGTGATAATGATCGCAGTCAAATTGCATACAGAGAAGAGTCGTGCCACGAGGCCTCTCCATGTCATCTCAAATCACTACAGTCGTTTGCGCAGCAAGCACTTTTCACACTAATTCAGGCTGTACATTTTGCTGTAGGGAGGGAACTTTTGTTTCACATTGCTGCCACAACAGAAAAGTGTTTCTGCTGCAACTCACACTTATCGCTCACACTGTTGTTCACTGGTGCTAATGTGGAGGCGAGGCATTTTCAGGAATTAGTCAATAGCATTGTGCTGCACATGCACTGACTTCCCTCTGTGCCGTCGAACAAGTTCTAGGAAATGATCCGTACTGTTTCAGAATCATTGATGTCTCTTAGCTAACGCTGATAGTCCATGAGCTAATCGGTGATGCTAGAGTATTGAATGTTATAGGAAGATGAAATCAGCACAGTCGTCTTAAGTCTCATGAAAACGTGCTGAACTTCAAAATGCTTCAAAATGGCGATTTTGGCAGTAAGCTGGAATATCGTGATGTTGTTTAGGAACACAATCTCCCTGTGTACTAAATGTATGTACCTATGTCTATCAATGTAATGAAGCGGTTCAGTTCCGAATGGGTAATGTGATGAACAGAGTATTGTCAAGAAGACGTTATGCTCACAATAGACGATACAAATTTCCACCTATTAGACGGCCAGCGTAGCGGCCGCCGGCCGCTAGTCCTTTTTAAAATTAAACTTCAAGAACAATTCCATCACGATTATTTCGAACGTCTTCCTCGCTGCTTTCGACGAGAATCACGACCACTGAGCGTAATGACAGGAATTTATCCACATCCCTCTCCATCCCCTTCCTATAGAGGTGTGGACCGCCGGCACCCAGGAAAAGTAGATGGACATGAAGCAGGACTCGCATCGTTTCAGAGCTGTTCGATTCGCGCAAGGGAGAAGAAGCTGTCGCGCTCTTCATTTCCCCAGTTTCCGGCAGGGAAATACACACGAGAAGACCTTCGTCCTTGAGAATCGTTTCTTCTTTTTTCGTGGCATCTAGATGTCATGACTATGGAGATTTCGTGGGCTCGTAGAAGACCTCTACCATCCGGGCCAGAAACTATAGGTGTCGGATAGCTCTCTCAAAGGTGTCAATACAGAAAGGTGAGTTGCATCATGGAATACTTAAACAGGCTTTTTCTGACGGGAAGGAGAAGTTTCGGTCTCAAACTTCCGTTCCCTAGCCGTTCTGTTTCACGTGAAAGAAGAAAAATGTTCCGCAAAGATGGCAAAGTGAAATTTCCGAGGAATGAAAGGAAAATTTTTCAGAAAATATGGGAAATCCAGGTTTACATGCTCTTGTTCGGATTTATTTTTATTTACAATGAAGACCCTCAAATATTCGAAAACTAGTCGATAGCCCGTACCGGTATCACGCCAAAACATCGACAAGACAAAACATGGACGAGACGAAACATCGGCGAAATGAAGCATTTGCATATTTATTTATTTTCCTCTAATTTTTGTTAGTGACCGTTCAATATTACATTACTTCCGAAGAGCCTTGCTGGGATCGTCTCTCAATCCAGGATGATCACTGAAAGGCTGTCTGAGGATGTCATCGTGGCTTCAGCAAGCATCTTGCAGCCCATTATTCCTTCTATATGGAAGTTTATTGATTGTCTCAAGAACGAACAGAGCCTGAATGAACTCAGGATGGACCAGTATACGAGGTGTGGCTATTAAGTTTCCAGACTTTATTTTTGTATTTTTTACTTTTAAACTTACAAATTAATCACATTTATCGCCTTCAAAGTACTCCCCTCCAGAACGTATACACTTATCCCAACGATGCTGCAATTGCTGGAAACAGCGGTGGAAGGCTTCTTTCGGGATGTCTTTCAGAGCCTGCATCACATTTGTTTGAATG